CACATTATGTACATTTGTAGGTCTGCCCTATTCCTAGTTTGACATTTAGGCCAGACATAATTTGTCTCATTAATTTATTTGGTTTTTACATATACGCCCTTTATTTTGTAGATATTTATAAATTTGGTATTTAATAACTTTATTTACATTTCAATTTAAAATGTATCCTTATCTTCATACTATGTATATCCAATAAGAATTTTTTTATTTATCAATTTACTATTAATGGATTAATATTTGAATTTCAAGGGTCTTTTTGTCTACTGAAAGATTTTCCCGAAATCGTGCTTTTAAAGAGAGTATGATTTTAACGTATGTATATGCAATGCACATTATTGTCATAGGGCTAAAGCCCAACAGACCAGAAAAGGCCGCAACACAATTGGCCATCTTTTTTTTTTGTTTCTTCTTCATTTCACTTTTCTTTTTTTTAGTGTAATTTCACAACTAGACGCTTAAAAGGTTTTTTACTATGAACTTATAGCGGAAATCCAACAGTGTAACTATCTTATTTGTTAGTCACTAGGTTTTATAAACGTACGATACACGTAGTTGAATATCATAATTAAGTACTTTTAGTTTATTTCCTTACTAAAAGTTATCCTTCGGTGCCACTTCGATAATTTTTGCTCATTTATGTCTCTAAACTTTAATATTATGATTTTTTTTCTTTGTCTAAATGGGCTACACCCAATTTAAGTTTTCATATTGATAATAAAATTGATACCAAACAAATATAATCTAAAGACAATTTAAATTTTCATGTTATTTTGACCTGACATGAAACCAAGCTTGACTTGAGAAAGTATAGCGTCATAAAAGTGGAAAATACCTAAAAAATAGCGTTATAAGCCAAGATAATTAATTAAAAATGGGCTAAAATGACCGAAAAGAGAATATGGAGTTTGTTCCTTTTCATTAATCGACTTCAGAAAATATCATAAACTAAAGATTAATGTTAACTTTAGTTTACTTTTATATGATAAAAGCATCTATATAAGCATATAAAAATACTAAAAATGTTCATGAAAATTCCTTCTAAATAATCGTAATCTTACTAAAATAATTGAAATATTCTATAAAATATTTAGGAAATATTATCTTTTATTCTTTCTATTTGATTTTTTTTATTGAGCCGAGATCAATCCTTTTCCACCTTTATATTTTTCTTAAGCAATCCTAGAGCAGTTTCTTCATCGTCTACATTTGTGACATCGGGCTAGAGCTAGATTTCTTATGATGTTATCTTTCCGTAGTCTATTATCAATTAATAGTACTTACGTATTTTTGTTGCTCTAACTTATTAGTAAAATTATATATAGCTACTTTAATTTATATAGTGAATTTAACTTTTAATCTATCATACATTTTTTAAAAATTTTATTCCTTAAATAAATGTTTTTAATTTATTGATATTGTTACTTTTTTTACTGGCATCAACTCACACTACCATTAGATTTTGAAAAAGGTAGTAAACTTTAAATATGAAGTAAATTTACACACCTTAATGAAAGAAGATGAAAAGTTTCTCTTTTTTTGAAAATTTTAAAATTTTGGTCCTTTAATGTAATTTTGAAGTTTTGAGGGTGTGTTTCGCACTTTTTAAAATTTGGAAGGTGTTTTTTGAAAAATTCGAATTTTAAGTTGGGTGCTAGAAATTTTTATATCTCATGCGTTGGTGGTAAATTTTCAAATATCAAAATACTTATTTCATCTCTAAAATTTTAAGAGTATTTTTTTTTACAATTAATGAGAGTTTTGGTTGTCTTTTACAAAATTCAAATTTTTAGTGGTTTGCTGATAATTTATAGATTTAATATGTACTGATTATGCATTTTGAAATTTTAGGGTTTTTTGTGATTTTTATTTTTTTGGGGAGTTCTTTTCTAATTTTTTGTAACTTTCAGGTTATTTTTATTAAATTTTAAAATTTAAGGTGCCTAATGGTAATTCCTTGAATTCATCTTTGTTCTTTGCAAGTTTTAAAATTTTAGGTATTTTTTTTTTATAATTTGGACTTTTAAAGGTGTTTTTATAATCTTTAAAACATTAAGGATGTTAATTGGAAATTTTAAGTTCTTCGAGGGTTGCTTTTAATTTCCAAATTTCATATTTATTATTTTAAGTTTTGAAAATTTTGAGTACTTGTGTACTTTTGATCTTTGAGGATATTTTGTGTATTTTTTGAAGTTTTTTGTCTTTTTTAATACTTCATATATTATAGCATATTAGCGATGTATGATTTCTTTATATATTATAGCATGTTAGCGATGTATGATTTCTTTACCTAACAAACTAATACCATGAAGTTATTTTATGTATTATATTAGTCTTATTTTTTTACTAATATAGTAGAGCTATTTCATATATTTTATTAATCTTATTTTTTAAATAGCCGTTTTATGTATTTTATTAATCTTTTTTTAAATGTTGGGTTATATATAGTTCACGTAAGACTAATATAGGATATACTTAGCATTATGATAGATTAAGATTTAAATAAAATATTCAAAATAGTGAAAGATAATATTGATCATGAAAACTTTTTTTCGAACTCGTGCTTTTAAAGGGAGTACGATACTGAAAGGGAGGCCCCATTTTAGTGCTTAACATTGCGAAGCAAAAAGTGAATGTAAATCTCATAGAACGTTGTGTATGGAAATATGAACGAGATTCTAAACCATAAATAAATAGCCGAAATTTATAAATTGTTTCCTTGCCGTCATATAAATTAATTGTGTTATATGAGTGTTATGATAAAATTTGTTCTATTTTGATTGTAGCTTTACAGGAGAAGTATGGAACTCTATAATGAGCTGGTTGCAATTTAATTGGAGGTATTGTGATTGGAGACTTCTTCTTGATTGGTTTTGCACAAGGATGAGAGAGAGGTAACGGATTCAAACAAAGAATAAGAAGAATGGCTTTCCTGGCAACTATTTACAGGATTTGGATAGAGAGAAATACAAGGATTTTTCAGGAAAAATGCAAGAGTTTGGAGCTTCTAGTAAAGGATATTAAAATTGATATTCTGTCTACTAATCTCAATCTACCTATAGCTGATTCCAATAGAGATTGGTTACTCTCTTTGTAGGGTTTTATATGTAAAGTTTTTTTAAATACTTGTTTCAGGTTGTTATCTCATTAAATTGTAAATGAGATCTTGATGTACATATAACTCTTCATTTGGTGAATGAATAAAATTTCTTCATTGACCAAAAAAAAAGATAAAATTTCTTCTAAAACAATCAACTAACATATGCTCCAAGTTGGCAGCACTATCTTTTAGGCTCTGAATATTGTACTATCTCCCTCTTTTATGCTTTTTTACGTTGTTTGCCCAAATTAAGAATGATTGGAATAGGATAATAGAGTGTATTTCTAATCAGCTTAAAAAAGATGAATTGGTAAAACCATTGCTATGAGGTGTTGACCTTTTTAAACCGTACCTAAGTACTTATCTCAATCCTTCATGTAAATTTTGTATTTGATAAATAAAGACCAATTAATTTGTTCTATCCCTTGTGTAATTTTCTATGTTTGTCAAATAAATAGAGTATTAATTCTCAGTGATTTTATTAACCTGTTAGAAAACAGAACCACACTTTATTCCGTAATGTTTTAGCCGATCCATTTCTAGCTGGTACTCGGTTAGTTTAATTAGTAAACGAGTTAAAAATACAGCATTAATATGCAAACACAGTTTTACTTTTTTTCCAGAGTGAGAAATATGCGTTTTGTGGATTTATATGATCCCAAGAAGCTTTACTGAAGTTTGCATCCAAGGTTCCTTTTTTTTTATCTTTTAAAAAAACTTTATTAAAGAAAACTCTCTCATAGCCCACTGTGGGTGATCTAGATGGTTGCGATGTTTCAATATGCTCCCCCTATCATGAGTTCGATTCCAGACTAGATTATCAAAGTATAGAACTCTCACATGCAGTAAGTAGGCAATAAAAAGGCAAATTCGAAGTATCATATATGTTCTTTTAGTTAACTAAAGAACTTTAAAAACATTTACCACAATTGATTCCAAAAGCAATAAATTGTTTTCGCAAGAGCACTAACATATTGATTTCTTATAGAAAAAAACGAAAAATAAAAAAATGTTGATTTCTGGTGAATTTCCTTTGATAATTAAAAAAAAAAGCCATAGTAAATTAATTATTTTCTCAAACTCAACGGCAACTCACGTATCACTTTGTCAACATGGAATATTATTCCCTAAAGAAGAAAAACAATAAAACTCAAAGCGCATAAATTAATTTTGAGGCCTTCAATCCAAGGTCAGTTGACAAACCCAATAAAAAAATACCCCAAACTAAAAGGCTTGCAATTTAATGATCAAATCTAAGCACATGCGCTCACGCTCACGCTTTGTGCTAACCCACGTTCCCCCTCCTCCCGAAGTAGTGAGAGCTTGTGACCTCTCACTTATTTTATCATTAAACCCCCAATGAAACAGTAATCATGCCACCCACACGTTACTTCAACCAAACATAAAGCACACTAACCCCATGTGATCACCGTTACGTATGTTTCCCACTGACTCCAGATTAAATTTGTAGTTTTCACGGGGGGATATTCGACAATTTGACTTATTCCCTCATCTATTTCCAACTTATCGCGAGGTCCTGTCACCGTACCGGTGGCGTAACCGGCGTACGAACGCGGATCGTCCGATGATTATTTCTGCCACGTCATCTAGATGAGCGGGGCCCATATACCATATCGAGCGCAGCCTTGGGGGAAAATATCCCATGGAGCGGAATGAGAATCAGAATGCCACGCTCCTTTCAATTTTGATACTAAATTGACAAAATTGATTATTCCACTAATTTATTTACGGCTATTATTCAGTTTGTAATTATAATTAAATGTTTATCTTAATATGTATCACCGCTTTCTGTACGTAGTTTGTGCTAATTTAAAGTTCAACTTTAAACATTTACTCCACATTACCTTTGTGATCAAAATCACATTCACAACAAACGACGAGAGAGGGAAAAAATAAACTCTAATAAAAGAAACCAAGGTACAATTAATAAACAGCAAAACTGTTTAAATTGCTACAAAATTACATTTTTTTTTTTGGTTTTTATTTTACCCCTAAACTATCTATAAAGAAAACTAAAATTTAACTGCTTCTTCAAAACTCAAAACGAAGGAAGAAGGGGAAACTTTAAGCTCGCTCTAAAAACCTGATTAGTCTCTAAAACTCACCTAATTAATCCTCATCTAATCAAGACCTCCGCAACTTCCTAAACCTCTTTCAACGTTAACCGAAAAAACTCATATAAGCTGCCTAAAATCAGGCCCGAGCTGGTGATGGATCAAAACCTCCTCCCGCTCTAAAAACCTGATTAGTCTCTAAAACTCACCTAATTAATCCTCATCTAATCAAGACCTCCGCAACTTCCTAAACCTCTTTCAACGTTAACCGAAAAAACTCATATAAGCTGCCTAAAATCAGGCCCGAGCTGGTGATGGATCAAAACCTCCTCC